GAATATATATATATATATATATATATACATATATATATATATATAGGACTCCTGACTGTATATTGGGTTGTCTAATTTGCTTCTTACGCATACGCGCGTGGAGGCAGAGCGCCGCGGCTTGTCGCGGTCGGTGTGCCTCATCTTTTGTAAGGCTGGAGGGGCCCCCGTCACGTTGTCTTGTACATCGCGTGGGTTGTCATGTCCACGCAAGGACACGGCATGCGTGCATCCGCTCGTCGCACAGACTGCGTGCAAGTGAGTGGCACCTCCACACAGACACTACCTGTGCGCAAGGCGTTGCCTCGGTAAACATGCAAACCGTCTCGGCTACAACGTAAGTATATAGTTTAAGAGCAGATCTCAGTAGTGGGTGGAAGGAACAATATCAGCCTTTGGAAACGTACGGTTTGTGAGATTTCTATTAGCTAAAAGGGTGACCGTGTACATTTTTAGTTTTTACCAGGAAAAGAGTGTTTCAGGCTGCAATCGAAGAACGTGATCATGGCGCCATGGTTGCAAAGGAGCAGCATGAACCGAGATGAAAGATTAGAAATTTTAAGTTGCATGGACTATCCCGAACCATCATCAAATCAAAGCAGGCAAGATGGTGGGAAAGAGGATGGGGATGGGGCGGTGGTCAATGTACTCCGCTTTGGTAGAAAAGCTGCAACTTCAGAAGGCAAGCTAAGCTGCATTTGAGGACTTGGAAAAAGAAGGAAGCTAAAACTAGTAGCTCAGGTGCATTGCTTTCTGCACATCGATGTGGATCTTTTTCTTAGCCAATGAGAAGGCAGCTGTGGCAGAAGGGACCATGCGCCCCCCGATGGATCATATCAGGCCTAAAACCTCGCGCAGACAAAGCGTTCGACCACACGTACCATGTCGCTGCAAAAGGGAAAAAAGGAAAGAGGAAGTGGGATTCCTTATCAGCTTCTCAACTCATCCTGATCCCACCGGAGCAATTCGGTTTGGTATCTTCTAAAGTTGGTAAGCGTCGATCGTTGATCAACGGTTCTGCTTCGTCACGCGTCCTCGGTAGATGGAAACCGTGATCGTTTGCGTCTTCAACCAATATACTCGAGTTCCTCAACGTACTGCATGCACCATTAATCGTCGTGATTGGATGGGGATCGCGTTTTGCAATGAAGTCAACATGACACGGCAATGACATCATCGCAACGTCAGCACAACATGATCGGTGACCTTTCTGAACATCCCCGGACGGAAGCCGCCGAGTCATCATCATCCTTCCTTCGTCGAGAGAGCTGTAGGCCACTCGCTCTACAAGGGGAAGACTGTGGTTGGGACCAGCAACATGCGGGCGGAAGCGTGCTTTCAGCTCGCCATCAGAAATGGTCATCACTGGATTTGACCGATTCTGAAACAACAGGCTGCAGAACCCTTTTACCACCGGCAAAAGTGGTTGGGCGTCGTCTGACGAGCGTCGATCGTGTGAGAAACTCCGGGTAAGCATATCCGACCGATCATCATCCCACAAGGGACGCCAGGAAAGACATGTTGATTCTGAACAAATATAAGACGCATCCATACGGAGTTCCAAGGAGAGACATGTTGATTCTTTTTTCTTTTTTTGTGCTTTATTTCGATTCTGAACAAATATAAGACGCATCCATACGGAGTTCCAAGGAGAAATGAGTATCTATCTCGATTAAATTTCCAACAAGCGTCTGGCACTGCACTGCAAAAGCAGCGCAACCAGCTTTCACGTGGAAAGTAACTCCAGAGGCAAACATTTTGCTATCGTGGAAAGTTACGAATGTCCCCTTCACACATCACGAAACCCAAATCTCAACACACGATAACATCGAGAGAAATAAAATTATGATACAAGAAGATAATAAAATAGAGGAAGTCGTTAATCAATCATAATTGATACTCCGTGGGAAGGCAGGCAGGCAGGCAGAGGCAGGATAGGGGTCCAACCACGGTTCACATCTCCCAGCGAGTGTCTTTTTCTGTGTCTTGAGGGGAAGTAACACCATCCCAATCGAACAGATCCTGATGCTCATCAAAATTCGAGGGACTATTGGCTTCACCTTTCGAATCATCCAACTCCTCAGGGCCCTCAACTTCATCTTCACAATCACTCTGCTGCTCTTGGTCACTCTGGACACCACTTGTTTCTTCCTGCTTCGACAACAGATTCCGATAAATCACGTTAGAATCCTGGGTGACCAAGCAGATTTATCTCTAGAGAGAAATGTTCAAGGGATACCTCCTTTTTACCAACGCCATCCTGCAATGCATTCACCTGATCACCATCTGTCTCTCCGTTGGAAGTTGGCTTTGCCCTAATTTGGAGCTGCTTAATTACTTGCATAACGTGTGTACGATCTGCCAAAAATAATAATAATCAGGATTAAGCGTATCAAATTTAACATGCATTTTCACAATGGATTAATTTATTTGTATATGGTGACATCTCCAAAAATACATGAATAAATAAACCTGATGAAACAGATATAATCATTTCAGGCTTTATGCTTAACGTGCTTCCAAATTAATTAAAGAACATGATGATAGCAGAAGAGCTACCTGGCATAGGACTATCAGTAAGAAGCTACTGCAAAGCCTCGCACAGTTTCGGATAAAAGAGCAGGCTACTAATCAAACATAAGGTGCAACATATCAATCTGACGCCCTCCAAAAGGCACATTTCTGATGGTTTCTTTACCTCGATCAAGCTTCCATCCTCCTCATACATATTTGTGGCTAGTTGTGGCAATATGAAATTACAATTACGGATCAAGTAAACATCAACTGAATCTCCTGAAAACTTCCTAGACATCTGAATTATTACTAGTATTATATCATTCGAGTTAATAATTAAATGATGGAATTACTGATCAAATAACATATAAAAATCGTGTTTAATAATTCTAATGTTCTCTAGCCCTTTGACTCGACTAAAATCATGGGAGTGAGGGATCCTACCACCGTATCTAGGGCTAAGTCATCTCTTCTCCGACAACGACATCAATTTATCTGTAATTCTAGAACTAAAATACCACAAATACGAAAGAGGGGGGAATTTATATGGCAAGGTTAACGATGAATACTTTTGTTGAAAGAAAAAAAAAATGTATCATGATGCATATGTGAGACTTATGATCACATCTCAACTGTATCTTGCATAATGTGTGGGCTATCTTCAAACGACTGCCATGAACCCCCACCACTATGTTGAATCTCGGATTTTGATGATGAAACCAATCGATAAGTGTTTATGTTTTAATCTGCATTTTGAGTGACGCAGGATGCTTCGATCAAGATGAGACAATTAAAGCAGGAAGAATCATGTTGTGCCGGAGGAAAACATGTCAGAAGATTGGACGTCGGACCGGTGGATCGGTCGACGTATCGACAAAAGGCTTCGGGCCGTGGATTCGGGCATCGGGCCAAGAAGAACGGATATTGCGCCAAGGATATCGGAGTTGCGGAGTCAACTAGCCGATTGGGCAATAGGACGCAAGAGAGAACGATGCGCCGAAGAATCGGACGAAGCGTCGAGGGACCAATGACATGCCGAACAACTTGATTAATGCTTAGTATTAATTGTCTAGATCGAAGTATGTTTTACATGTGCAGGATTAACTACGATAGCAAGGCATGAAACAAAATGAAGTCTCGAAGTCAAGAACGCGATTACGTTGGGAGTTCGAGAGTTCGTCGGAAGTCTGGATGTTCGTCGGAAGTTCTGGAGGAACGAGCCGAGAAGTCTAGGAGCTTGCCAGAGAAGCTCGTAGGAACTCGCCAAGAAGATCGTTGTGAAGTCCAGGAGCTTGCCGGGAGTCCGTCGGAACATTGCCGAGAGATCGTCGGAAGTTCGCCGGAAGCTCGCCAGAAGAATAGACATAGGGACTCGTTTAGCTTAACAAACGTCTTAGGATTTCGTAGTTAGCATGTAATTGGGCTTGGATTTGGACCAACCCAATTAGGGGCTACAATCTTATTAGAAATTCCCTTCTACCAACTCTAAGTGTTAGAATTCTGTTTAAGAGAGGAGAGTGAGTGCTTGTAAGGGTTATCTCCTAAACCCGGTAAAAGGAGAAGAGAGGTGTAAAAGGTGATTGGCCTTCGCCTATTGAAGGAAGGCCTCTAATGTACGCCGATGATCTCGTCGGAGGAGGAAGCCGAAAGTAGATGTAGGTCACGTTCACCGAACCACTCTAAAACTTTGGTTTGCATTTACTTATTGCTATTTACCTTACTTCAAACCTCTATATGTGCTTTACTTCCTCATTACTTTTGCTGCACACCTTTACGAACACGCTTTCAAGTTAAGATATTTCCGAGATCGGTTGAAACGATTTTTATCGTACGAAAGTTTTAAACCGACGTTATTTTACCGCTGCACTAATTCACCCCCCCTCTTAGTGCCGACCCTTGATCCTAACACACTAGGGTACAGTTTTGGATGGTCATGATGCACATTAATTGAAAAATACAACACAGTGATTTAAAACCCAAGTGAACTAATTATTTTATTATGAAGGTGAAAAATCTAGTGCAAGAGGCTCTCACAAATATCTATATCACAAAGGAAGGATCTTACCATTGTGCTGATGTCAAAAAAATAGAAGAAAAGGTTCCTCATCCACTTAAAGGCCATCTCATGACATTGTGTTGCAGATGCTGCAACTCAAATATTTACAAGAATTTAGTTCTATTATTCCATTCTACATCTCTTTTTAAGAGAAAGGAGGACCCAAAGACATTTGGACAAGCCAGTACTGGTTGGGTGTTTATCGGTTTAACCACAAGCCAACACACAGACAAGCAACTTCACCGAATTGAAATTCGTACCAGGCTACTACCCAGTATTTTACTGGTATTGAGTTTACTAGCAGTAGGCCTACCACCCATGTCAGTGTCTTTCCCATCATTTTCCCCTTTCTTTCACCAAATTCCTCTCTTTTTTTTCTTCTCTACCCGCAACTCCTTTTCTCCCCATTTTTATTAAATTCTTCTTCAATTCATTCCTTTTTTGCATCAAATTTCTCAAATAGCTTCGATAACTGATTTCTGCTTTCTGATGTCAAATTGTTGATCTTATTTAACAAATAGAATTTATACTCATTCAGATAAGTACAATAGATTGCTTCACTCAATCTAACATTTTATAGTATTGAAGAAATCTGTCTTCATAGCAAAACCAGAACTTAAATTAAACATCAGGTGATAGATCAAGCTAAGAGAATTTAAGTGAGTAGCAAAAAGTCAGTCACATACTAAGAGAATTTAAAATTCTGGGAGCAGCAAAAAATCAATTTCTTACCTTTGGAAGGACGAAGTAAAGCATCATGGACTTGTGAAGGATGTTTGCGTTCTTCAATTTTGAATTTTAGTTTCACTTGATGGCGTGTGCGATTAGGGAACAGCTGCTGTATCATTGCAAAATCTGTCCCAAATTGGTGAATAGCCTACACATTCAATCAGCACACAGAAAATTCGATCAGAAACACCTAATAAAATTAAAGCATACCACCAATAGTTCAGCAAAAAATTAAAGAACTACCCAATCGATTTTCCTGTCATTCTTGCACAAAAGATCAATATTGAGGAACATCAAGCAAACTTTACAGAGACCAAATTACCCTCACTGTAGGCACTGAATTCACTGGTCCCTTAGATCAAGTAATTAGGACCGGCTCTTCAGTACTCGTACAGAGGAAACAGCAAGTCAAAAATGACTTCTGAGTTCCGATAATTCATATCTTTATTTTTTGAATTTTTTATATTTTTTATTCTGGAAAAATATTCTGACATACCCTTGTCAAATGGTTAAATATCTGTTTAATTCCCCTCAAATGTTTTTAAAATATCACGAACATCCTCAATGTTAAATTCCTTAATATAATAATTAGAAAATAACATGTGTTTGTGTAATGAATTATTCTACCGACTATCTACGATACAACCTATCAAACTTCCCCGTTTCTTGGTCGAGCACTGCTGCATCGACCCGAAGTCCCGCACTTTCAAATATTTTGATGAGAAGCCCAACGATCTTACGAAGTTCCTTGGACTCTGCCCTTCAACCTTGTCTCGGTATTTAGAGTTTGTATTTACAGTCTCCACCTCCTCGGCCCATTCTCACGATCATGTGCTCTCCCTCCATAAGAGCAAAGGATCAAATGACTCCATAGAAGCCCCACCATCATGTTGCAGAGCTCGTGTCGATTCTGTTCTCCATTGCATCCTTGATAACAATGTTCGCTTACTCAACCTTGTCCTCTGACTTACCAAACTCCCTTAAGCGAATATGAGCTCTGAAGCAATCCAACCCTCCAGCCCCTTCGATCATACCTCTATATGATCAAGTCCCCCGATGGGACTCACTAGTACTTACACTCATAATTCCCTCTCAATGGAACACAGCCCCCATATACTGATGATCAAAGTTTTCATCTGATGCAAAATTCGATGCACGCACGGAAGACCTACCTCTGTGGTACCATGGCATTCACTCCTTGAATCCATAGCTCTTCTTGTCATCGTGTTGTTCACCAATGTGGGCCTCCCAGTAGCTCCCATTCATTTTTTCGTATGATCAAGTCCTTCGCGGAACTTCTCCTGTGTGTGTCGCATTCCTCGAACTATTTAATGAGAAGGTAAATCATAGTAGCCAACTCAATGCAAGGAGTGCAAACACTTCGGATGCTTCAAAAGTGTGAGCAAAAATAAGGCTAGTAACCAGCTCGATACATGAAATACAACCCTCGAGAAGACAAATGAAGTCGAGTAACCTTTGTCTTCTCAACTCTTAAAAGAATGGGCAAAACTGAATACCTTAGTTCCCTTATTTATCCAACAGAGAAGCTATGCACATGTTGAAAGACCCTTCAAAGAAACTTAATAAAAAACAATTATCAAATCTTCACCAATAGTGATCGATTCTACCGAGAGTAGACAATCCGCTTCATTTCCCAACAAAATGTCAATCGAAAACAGAAGTGATGCGAACCTATTTGGAGGCGACAACTAAATAAAAGAGAAATCAAATGGGCAAAAAACCTCAAAAGCTTCAAAGTCTGTGAGGCGATACACTTTAAAGCTCCAACAAGCATCTACCTAGTTCAAGCAGCGCGAAACGTTTGAGATAATATCGCATAACAAGGAAGGTCTTTTCCATTATCTATAGGATCTACACGAACCAACAAAGATCTACACAACTTGATCGACCCCACACCAAGTTAGAGTCATTAGCAAGTTGAAGCAACGTGGTCGATTAAAGTTCGTCTACTCAACAACAACAGCAGAGAGCAATTAAGAGTCAAGATATGCATTTGCAACTGGAGTAGAATATTGAAGATTCAGCAAAGGTAAGGAGATGCAACATCCGCAAAGGTTTCGACAAGGATGTTAAAAGAATAAGTGGGGAAGAATATCACGAACAAATATGTGAATGGGGTGTTTGATGAAATACTTGTGTATACCCATGTCTTTTGATTTTGTTTATGCTTTGCACAGGGGCTTGCAATAGGCTTGGTAGGCTTATTTTGGTTGACTTTTGTGATCATTTTAGTCTTGTAAGTGCGGATTATGTGCAGTCGACACACAAAGGCAAAACTGCTTAGAAACAAGCCCTGCTGAAGTGTCTAGGGCAAAGGTAAGGAGATGGACTTTCTTGCTCCACAGAGTGGTGTGGAGTGTCAGCCAACACGGCACCCAAGAGCTGCTCGGGTGGCACATTGACTAGATTGGCCTTTAGGGAAGTGTCTAGGGCCGGTTCGCTATCTTGCTCCACAGCAATGCCATATTGGCACTTGTGGGGACTTTACTAATGATGCCCCTTTTAGCCCATTCACCCCCTCATTTATTAAGACTTGCAATTCGTAGTTCCTTTAAAGAAAGTCCTACCCTAACTGAAGTAGATAAAGAATCACCTTTTTCAATCTCAAGGCTAATTTGTTCTCAAGTAGTATATTTTCCAACTCAAATTGTACTTCTAATAATTCTTGAAAAAAACATAAAAATAATATACTGTAAACTCCTCCATAAATAATATAAAAACACATATGAACATAAATCGCCTAATTCGGACCAGCTTATGGATCCACTGAACACAAGGTCTGGCCGGCAGATGAGAGGAACAAAAGAATGATCAGCCTAGGAATCCATTAGACACAAGCCTAACCTTGATATGGAGGATGATTGACCAATTTGACTGGCAGATAAGAGGAACAAAAGAATAATAACAAAAAAAAGGAGAAAGGAAAAAAAAGAAAAGAAGATAGAAATAGAGACAGAGGGGAGGAAGAAAGCAGAGAGGGAAGAGAAAAAACTAGTCGATGGGGTCACCAAAAGCTACGATCTTGCATGTTGAACTTAAATAGAGGATATGAAGCTGTGCGTTAAAGAGAACATATGTTAGAGCTTGTTACAAATTAGCTCCTACAGAGTCGTGAAATTAGTTCCTTAACTATGTTCTCTCTATTTATGAACTTCATAGATATATCAAGGTCACAAAATTTTCATTTTGCCTACTTTTTCTTATATTTTATATTTTGATATCTTTATTTTTGGAAAAAGCAAAATACAAATTGCATTCTTTAAGCTTTACACTATATAATAACTGTAGTAATTGAAGCAGTTGCCATATTTGTCTTTTACGTGCTGCAGACTGCAGTACATGCCATTAGCATGGAGGTCTTATGCCATGCCAACACAGTATGCATGCCAGTGTGATGAAAGGAGAAACAAATACAAAACCCAAGAAAAAGATAAACGAAGTGAAGTTTCACTTACTGCACTACAACAGTATCCAGCATCCTCCAAATTTCAAAAGAGGTGCTAACTGTGGCAGAGCCACTAAGGCATAAAGAAGCATGCAGTCATGTACTTCAACAATAGAAAGGGTTTAATGGGGAATTAAACCCTCCATTTGGATGGCAGAATGCTATATTCAGAACAGATTGCTTGGTGCATAATGAATTAAATGAGAATCTACGGTAGCACACAAGAACTAAGAGTTGAACAAAAGAAAAGCAGAAAAACAAAGGCCACGGGTTAGAGAAATGCAAGCCAACTGGGTGAAATCTTGAGCTGGTTTGTCACTAGCAAGTTCAAAGAAACATGTGCTGCAGCATTCCTTTTTTCATATATTACATATAAACTAAAAAGAAACATGGTGTGACAAGATCAAAGTACCTCGTAGAACAACTTTGTTTCTGCTTTTGACCATCTACTAGTTGG